CTTTCTGTATACCAGCCTATTTCTATTTATCTGTTTAATCATTTCAATTCTCCAACTCAATTACCAAATCACCCCTCATTTTAACAAATGTTCCCGATGTTTTAAAATCACTCCACCCTCTCCATTTTTCTCTAAACACTTCAACTTTATCCTCCTCATTATAACACAACTCCTCCATCTTATTAATATACTCAATTCCATCTATCCAATCCTTCATTGTTGGGGGATCCTGGGCTTGCCAATAGTTAGGAATCAAGCTCTTTGCCGCACTAAGTAGATAATACAGTATACTATTTTTATATTGTTTTACTGACATCTCTGTTTTGTAGAAAAGGCACACCCACGGGTCCTTCTGGATTGAAGTCCCCAAAATCTCCTGTATATTTTGAATCATTTCTTGCCAAAATACCTGTATTTTTGGACATTCCCACCAAATGTGTGCCATCGTCCCTAATGCCCCATATCCCCTCCAACACAATGGTGATACCCCCTCTCACTGTTTATGTGTCACACTCAGTGTACAATACCATCTAGACAAACATTTATAATTAATTTCAACTATGTTCATATTCCTCACCCCGTGTATTAATTTTAACACTTTACTCTTCTGTTGATCATTTATTTTTGTACCCAATTCTCTTTCCCATTTCTCTAAGAATGTCGGAATTCCAGCTTCCATGAGTTCAGATATAATCTTATAAATCCTTGATATATGTTCACAACTCATCTTTGAACTCAACAATTTTTCAAATGGTAGCATCTCTTCCGCCATCCTCAGTGGCTGGGGGAAAGTTGAGCCAAAATGTTTTAATTGACTATATCTCAGTTCATGTAGTGCAACAAATTTATTCTTTAATTCCTGAAAAGTGCATATTTTCCCCTTATCTATTATATCTCCCAAACATGTATTTCTATCTTTAAACCATTTCCCCGAGACCTCCTCTCTTCCAGGTGGGAAAAATTCAGTGTCCTCCAACGGTAACAATAGTAAATTATAATTCCATCCCATAGATTTGTGCAACCCATCCCATATTCTCAACACTTCCTTTGTTAACGTGCTACTTTTTTGTCTCTTACCCTATATTTACGTGGGATCCAAATGATCTTCTCCAATTGTATATTGCTTATAATACTTTCCATTTTAACCCAACTTTTCTCTTGTGAATTATGTGTCCATTCAACCACCGGTGATAGTAAAACTGATATGTTATATTTCCTCATATTTGGCAAATTTAATCCTCCTTTCTCCTTTTTATAACAGAGTTTCATATTTAATTCTTGGTTTCTTATTATCCCAAATAAATCTCGTTATCAGTTTTCTTATTATCCTAAAAAAGGATCCGGGTAAATTTATTGGGAGCATTTGAAACTTATACAGGAATTTTGGCACTATTACCATCTTAACCAAATTTATACTTCCAATCCATGAGACCCATCCTTCTGAGAGTCTTCTCAACTCATCTTTGATTTATTAGTGGGATGTAATTAACTTTTATTGCTGAGGTTAACTTTATTCCCAAGTAACTTAATTCCCTTTCCCTCCATGTAAATGGAAAGTCTTCTTGAAAATTCCTCTTCTCCGATTTTGACACATTAATATTTAGAATTTCAGATTTTGTAGGGTTTATTTTTAAATTAGATAATTCTCCATATTGTTTTAATAACCTCATTAAATTGGGTAGCGGCAATCTAGGTTCTCTATATAAAACAGCATATCGTCTGCATATGCTGCTACTTTATGCTCTACTTCTCCTATTTTTATTCCATTATCTTTTTTTTCTTACTGATCCCAAAAATGGTTCCAGGGACAGTGCAAACAGTAATGGTGACAATGAGCATCCCTGCCTAGCACCATTATGCAATCTAAAGGAATCAGACAGGGTCCCATTTACCTTCACCACCACTGAAGGGCTATTATAAAGTTTTTTTTATCCATTTTAACATTTTTTCCCTTATTCCTAGAACTTCCAGCTTATTTATCATAAACCCCCAATCTACTCTATCGAAGGCTTTCTCTGCATCGATAGACAGTATTATGTCTACTTCTCTTTGCTTTTTGCAAAAGGAGCAATGTTCTCAGCCCATTGTCCTTTCCTTCTCTTCCTGGTATAAACCCGACCTGGTCCCAAATGTATCCATTCTGGCATCAGTTCTATCAACCTAGTAGCCAACACCTTCGCGCGAATAATTTGGTATAGGTATTCAGCAGTGATATGGGTCTATAACTAGCACATTGAGTACCATCATTTCCTTCTTTAAGAATAATTGTTCTATGTGCATGCAATGATTCCCCTCTCATTTCCACTCCCGCTCCCAATGCATTCATATATCTACTGAGTTTAGGAATCAGTAGCTCTTTACAAATTTTTTATAGTACCCCACTGTATAACCATCTGGGCCCGGGCTCTTCCCTCCCACCGTGTTTTTCAAAGCCTCCCTAATCTCATCCTGAGAAATGGCTCGTTCTAATGTTAATAATTTATATTTTGCAATCTTTGTTAAGTCAGCTGCTGTTAAACATTCTCGCCTTCTCTTACTTTTTTCTTCCTCTGTTGCTTTTTGATTTATAGGGTTCACCTCATACAGTCCACTGTAAAACCTCTGGAATCTTTCTGCAATATCAGTGGTGGTATAAATCAGATCTCCATTTTCATCTTTATTTTTTTCTATATAATTCTTTGATTTCTTTTGATTCAACCTCTTCATCATATATTTTCCTGGTCTTTTCCCCCAATGGTATCTTTCCTTTGAAACTCTATTAAAGGTTTTCCTTGTTTCCTCCTCTATTAAATCTTTTAATTCTTCTCTTTTAAGAGTGATCTTTCCATGTAGATCTAGATCTTGCTTTCTTTTATGTGCTTGTTCTAATTTATATAGTTCTTCAGTTACTTCTTTTAACTTCTTCTCTCAATCTCTCTCTTTTTTTTTTGTAGCTGCCGCTATCAAGATTCCTCTCATATATGCTTTAAGTGCTTCCCATATCGTGGCTACCGATACTTCCTCAGTTTCATTTATTACAAAAAATTGTTCTAGTTCTTCTCTTAACTTCTCTTCTATGTCTGGGTCATTTATAAGTGTCTCATTTAATCTCCACATAGCTCTTTTATTTCCCTCTCCTCCCGTTCATAATCTCACTGTAACAGGGGCAAATAGTCATAACCTCTATATTAGATTTAACCAAAGATTCAAACTGTCTATGTTCTATCAATATATAGTCCAATCATGAGTACGGTCTGTGTGCAGAGGAAAAAAAGGTATAATCCCTTACTGCAGAGTTAAGGCCTTTCACATTATAAGTGATAATATTAATAAAATTCATATCTAATAGTTAATTTAAAATCTACGTTCCATTTACAGGTAGGGATACCCAGATCTATTCATATATGGACAACACCGCTATTCCCCTTCCCCCCCTCCCTGATCCCCCCTCCCTCTTTAGGCCCCTCTGAGCATCCCACTATCTCAACCATCTGGAGACAGGGGTCTCGAAACTTTCAAAACAAAGGGCAAGTTTATGGTCCTTCAGACTTTTGAGGGGCAGGACTGTGGACAGTGGGAGTAGAAAATGCCCTGTCTGTAACAATGCCCCGTGACTGGTGTCAATGAGAGGAATATTGCCCCATCATTGGTATCAGTGGAGGAATAATGCCCCATCATTGGAGTCAGTGGGAGAAATAGTGCCCCATCATTGGTGTCAGTGGGAGGAATAGTGCCCCATCATTGGTGTCAGTGAGAAGAACAGTGCCCCATCATTGGTGTCAGTGAGAGGAATAGTACTCCATTATTGGTGTCTGTGAGAAGATTAGTGCCCTATTATTGGTGTCAGTGGGAGGAACAGTGCCCCATCATTGGTGTCAGTGGAAGGAATAGTGTCCTATCATTGGTATCAATGGAGGAATAGTGCCCCATCAATGGTGTTAGTGGGAGGAATAGTGCCCCCTCAATGGTGTCTGAGAATAATAATGCCCCCCCATTGGTGTCAGTAGGAGGAATTGTGTCCCATCATTGGTGTCAGTGGGAGGAATCGTGTCCCATCATTGGTGTCAGTGGTAGGAATAGTATCCCATCATTCATGTCAGTGGGAGGAATAATACCTCATTGGTCATGTCAGTAAGAGAATAAGGCTCCAAGGGCTGGATAAAGGCAAGCAAAGGGCCGCATGCGGTCCCCATGTCACAGTTTGGAGACCACTGGTCTGTAAGATACAGTGAACCTTTAAAGCGTATAAAGACCTGTAATTCATATGTAGAAGTATATCTAAAGCCAAAGCTTTTTTTCATATTGTATATCGTAGGAAAGGGTTCAAAAGACCAGACAGGTCTTTTATGCCCTCTGCATCTCATTGGGGATATTGTTCTTCATGCTCTGTCTTATAGATACAGTAGAGAGTAAGAGAAAGTCAGAAGCCTCCTCTTATTTTTTCCCTGAAGCAAGTATTGCAACTGGAAGATTTCCCCTCAATTATCGTTAAGCTGACAACTCAAAATTTTGGATTTTCCATTTTTTCTAGTCCCAGTGACAGTGGTCAGCCGAACAACTTGAGAGGGTTTATCTACCTATAGGACCATATATATATTTTGTGCAAGCATTCTTCAATCTTTACAAGTTTTTCAAGATAATCATATAATGGCTTCATAATGATTTGGTATATACAATGGGTTTCCTGTTGCAGGCTAACAATGCTGAGCCATTGTATTGCAGTTAGCTGCAGTATTGCTAGTCTGTGTGTTCCTTTAGTGGGACTACAGGATGCCATGTTGATGCACTGTGATCCTATAGCCAGCACACATCAGCCTACCCATTAGCTCTGGCCACACCTCCTTCATCACCCTGTTCAATCCAGGGCCACTGGGAGAATTAATTGGCCCCTTCATGGGTAGGAGATTTGTGTTTGCATATATGATGCATATGAAGAAAATAGAAGAGGTCAAACTGTGAATGTAAGACGTGCACAGCACATGCTTTTAGAATAAGAAAAAAGAATGTTTGAAAACCTATCACGTAGCCTCCCTGGAGGTATTCCCGAGTGTAGCTCGGGGTAAAGTTTCAGAACCACAAGCGGTAACCCCGAGCTACTCTCCGGAATACCATGTGGTGCTGCTCCGCGATCCCTCGGTCACTTACCTTGTCCTGCGCTCCTGCGATGTCCCTCCTGCAGTGTCCCCAGCAATGTCCTCCAGGATGCCAGCATCTGTCATCTGGGTTCCGTTATCTGCGAGCATCGGGACGTACGGGGGACGGAACGGCGGGAAATTTGAAAATGACAAAAAGTGACAGTCACAAAAATCACTAAAATCACATAGTAAAACATTACTGTACCAAACCATTTCACATACATTTTGTCCCTAGTGCTTTGTCCTGTGCCCTGCCTGCATTTTTACTGTTCTTTCTGCCTGGAAACTGAGAAACGTCCACGGCATCCAAAAAGTGTCCCTTTAGGTCAAAAGCGGTTTTAGACCAACTAGAGAACAGCGATAGTAAATCAGAACCACTTGCAGAATTGAGTAATAATGATTCGTGGGGAAATTCGTTATCAGACACTGAAAATGATTTTGCGACTTTGCTCAGTGATGTGCGAACTTGGTGCTATATTTAAAATTTCAGTGTTTTTGGTTTGATTATATTATTGAATTAAATGTATTATTAATTTATTATTTTTTATGATTATTAAATTATAATTTATGATTTTGTGTTTCAAGTTTTATCCTACCTGGGATGTTTACTAGACTCTTGTTCGGACAGATTTCAGTGAGTTATTCCTAAGAATTACAGGCCTACAATATAAAACGCCAAATTTCCATGCAAAATAATGGTACCGCTTTCAGCACCAAAAATCTGAAATAATCATACCGCCAGGGAGGTTAAAAACTGAACAACGGGGGCGCATGCGCGGCCAGGGACGATGGCGGCCACACTTTAAGTGAGCTCCGCTCATCCCGGCCAGTAAAGACTCACCTGACACTTGCCTCCGCTCCTCTTCCGCTGCGGGTGAGTCACCCGTACTCTGCACCCGGCCCAGCACCTGAGCGAAGGCTTGATGGAGCAGATAGGGCGCTGGAGGCCCCCCTCCCCGCAACCACGTGACCCGCGGCCCTCGCCGCTCTGGAGGTTCCTCTCCAGGCCACAATCCCCAGCCTCAGGTATGACTGAGAGCCCAGGGAGAGATCGCGGCCCCCCGGTGGTCGCAGACGGTACTGCACCCACAGACACTCCAGCCTCTGCCCTGACACACTCCCTGCTGGAGGACTATGAGCCCCAGCATGCTACTGCAAGGGCTGCGGAGCACTCTGCCTCAGAGAAGCATCCTCTTTCCACCCTGGCACCTCAACAGGCCACCCAGTTACCTTCCCTCACATTGTCAGCGTTGGATGACAAGCTACAAAATTTTTTGCGCAACATTACCGCGTCCATATCCGCTGAAATTGGAAAGCTGGCCTTGGAGCTTAGAGGGGAAATTGCCCAGATTGGAGACCGCACGGACAGACTGAAAAATGAGTTTGATGATCTGGTTCAATACGTCCACGTACTGGAAGAAGATAACGCTTACCTGAAGCACTCCATGTCCCAAATGCAGCTCCAGCAAGAGGATCTGGAAAACAGGGAACGGCGCCAAAATATCCGTATATCCGCGGTATGTCCGAGTCTATTGCAGATGCACAGTTGCATCGTCATCTTCTGTCCTTCTTTACCGCGACTGCCCCCTTGGTTCCAGAAGCAGATTGGCGTATGGATAGGGCTCACCGCTCCTTGGGCCCAAAACCTGCTGAAGGCACCAGATCTCGCGACGTTATTGTTCGCTTTCATTTTTTTCAAAGCAAAGAAGCTCTACTTTCTGCTGTTCGCCATAAATCGTCTCTGGAATTTCAGGGGGACAGACTCCAACTCTTCTGCGACCTGTCCCCGATTACACTGGCTAAGCGACGAGATCTGAAACCGATCACCACACATCTTCAACAACACCGTGTCCCTTACCGCTGGGGGTTTCCCTTTCGGCTAGGGACAATACCCAAGTTGTGCTCCGTGATCTTCATGAGGCGGACTCCTTCTTAAAACGCCTGGGACTTCCACCTCTGTCTGAAGATGTATCCCCACTGCCACCAACTCCGTCTCGTCCATCCGCTACCCCCAACAAGATCTGGACCCCAGTTCGCAGAGGTCGGAAGAGACTTTCTCGTACCCCACAACGTCCGCGTCTTCCTCTGTCAACTGATCCACCTGCTTGACAATTCTCTGGGGCGCCCTTCTGAATCCGGTGATGAACCTTCCTTCCTGGGTTTTTGATTCTTTTTTGTCTTTACATAATTTTCCCACAGGTTTACCTTATCTGTCCGGCCAAATTGTCGGGTGTTTTTCATGGGTTGATTTTTTTTTTTTTTTTTTTTGGCCGGGCTTGACGATCTTTCCGATGTCCTGGTTGTCATGTTGCCCCCGACTTTGTCTAGCCATAGGCCTAGACGACTTGGGTCCCATTGTTATCCCCGAGTTTATATCCTTGCGGATACTTATTAGTGTTAGTTCTCTGTTTTTTGTTTTTTTTTTATACTATTACTTTGCACTGTACTGTGTTATTCAACTGTTTTATGTTTTTTGTTTTTCACTATATTACATCGATGGTATTCCATTCATTTTTCAAGCTATTACATGTAGGTCAGTTGTCGTTGTTTCATAATGGCGTTGAGGTTTCTGTCATATAACGTCAAGGGCCTCAACTCCATTCAAAAACGGTGGATGGCTTTGAGGGAATTCCGATCCTCTGGAGCAGACATTATTTTTGTCCAAGAAACCCATTTTAAATCAACTGGCTCTTTTCGTTTTGCCTCGAGATTTTTTCCCCAAGCCTACTCGGCCTTTAATCCTTCTGGGAAGGCCGGGGTGGCAATCCTTATTGGGTCACACTGCTCCCTTCGGGTTGTTTCCTCCAAGGTTGACCATCAGGGTCGTTTTATTATTTTAGAGTGTATGCATGGCGAGACTCCCCTTGTTCTGTTGAATTTATATGCTCCCAATACAGGTCAACTGCAATTCCTATCCCAAACGCTCGCTAATCTAGACTCTATTACTACCTCGCAGGTGATTGTAGGGGGAGATTTTAATCTGATTGTTTCCCCCCATAAAGACAGGAAAGTGCTTTTGAGTCCACCCCCTCGAAGCGGCAATGCTCCTCTTCAAAATCTTTCCATGAATTGATTAGGGAGCATCGTCTCTTTGACGCTTGGCGGATTAAACACCCCCTTCATAAACAATTTACATTTTACTCCAACCCTCACCGTAGTTATTCCCGCCTAGATCATTTTTTCATCTCTGCCTCTTTGCTCCCACTTCTGGTTTCCTCTGAAATCAATCCCATCACTTGGTCTGATCATGCCTCTTTGACCTTAAATCTTTTTTTCCCCCCTGCTATGCCCAAACCGTGTCACTGGCGCCTTAATGAGACATTTCTTTCCACAGACCATCTTAGGGATGAATTGTCACGGGGACTCGATACATACTTTACTTTTAATGTCGGTTCCGTAACTTCTTCCTCATCTCTGTGGGAGGCCCACAAGGCGGTTTTCCGTGGACTCTGTATCTCCATGGGTTCCCGTTTAAAAAAGTCCTCGGCGATTGCTAGGGCCTCTCTCATACAACAGCTCTCGTTGGCGGAACGTCAGTTACTGAATAAGCCATCTATTTCAGGGCTTCAGGGGGTAACATTTCAACGTGACCGAATTAAAGCCCTTGACTCCAGTAAGACTGCACAATCTCTCCTTTGGGTTAGACAGAAATTTTATGAATTTTCTAACAAGCCACACCGTATGTTAGTCAACCGTCTCAAAGCCCAGTCCCCCTCCACGATGCCCGACCTTCTAATACAGCCTGATGGATGCCCTACTTATGATCCTCGGGCCATGGCAACCCTTTTTGGCTCATTCTATGGGAAATTGTATAACTGTTTAACCCCGGACCTTCACCCTTCTCTCACACAACCATCGTTTGATAATTTTTTTGACCCCTTGCTACTTCCGAGAGTATCACCCTCAGACATTGACGCTCTTAATGCGGATATTACGCTAGAGGAATTATTGGATACAATTAAACACCTCCCTTCTCGTAAAGCCCCGGGACCGGACGGACTGCCCTACTCCTACTATAAATCTTTTATTGGTACTCTGGCCCCTCATCTCCTATCCCTTTACCGAGATCTATTTAAGGGAATCATACCCCAGACTGACTTCTCCCGTGCATATATCTCGGTTATTCCTAAGCCTGATAAGGATCACTCTATCGTAGATAACTATCGCCCTATTGCCCTACTTAATTCCGATTATAAGATTTTTACTAAAATCTTGGCCAATCGACTATCCGGTATTATTTCCAAGCTCATTCACAGAGATCAGGTGGGCTTTGTACCTGCCAGACAGGCTGCGGATAACACCAGGAGATCTATTGATCTGGTTGATCTGGTCAACCGTTCCTCTACCCCTACTGTGTTATTGAGCTTGGATGCCCAAAAAGCCTTTGACCGTTTAAGCTGGCCTTACATGTTCATGGTTTTTTGGAGCGATTTGGTTTCAGGGGTTCATTTGTTGCAGCTTTGAAGGCCCTTTATTCATCCCCTTTCTCACAGGTCAGATTAGCTTCCTTTCTCTCACCCCCCTTTCAGATGTCAAATGGCACTCGTCAGGGATGTCCACTCTCTCCCCTGCTGTTCATTCTCTGTCTGGAGCCATTGGCTGTTGCCATCAGGTCGAATCCGGATATCCGGGGGATACAATCCCATTCTCATGAGTACAAATTATCATTATTTGCAGATGACATCCTCCTCACACTTACGAGTCCCCACACCTCTTTACCGATTTTGCACAAAATTTTGAAACAATTTGGGGCTTTATCAGGTTATAAGGTCAACACGTCCAAAACTGAGGCACTTCCAATACATGTTTCTCCTGTTGTTCTTTCCTCCCTTCAGGCAGCCTTTCCCTACCGGTGGTGCACCCACTCTTTAAAATATTTAGGCACCAACCTTACTTCCTCTTACCAATCCATATACGAGGCCAATTTTCCCCCACTGTTTATAGCAATTTCTCGCTCCCTGAAACACTGGGATGCCTTGCCTATCTCTTTCCTCGGTCGTATTAATGTCTTAAAAATGACCGTACTACCCAAACTTTTATATCTGTTTTGCAACCCTCCCAGTACCCGTTCCTATGTCCAAGCTTCACTCCCTTCAGAAATCTTTCTTACATTTTATTTGGCACAACAGGCGGCACAGGATTGCTCGTTCTGTTCTGCTTTCCCCACGTTCTAGGGGAGGCTTGGGAGCACCGGATATATAATAACATACTATTTTGCAACCCA